ATATATAGAGAGAGAGAGCATAATTCTGCATTCCAGTTTTCTCTTCAATCCTTGCCAGTAATTTTCGCTCGGCCAAATATCTAGCAAGTTGTATCGGACATGCGCACAGAAACGCATGTAGGTCGTCATGAAAGCGCCAGTTAGTTATTTTTGTCCGATATTAACAAAAACTGGAATGTGTCAACACATTTTAGTAATCCTCTCAATCATAAAATTTCGTGAAAATCCATTAATTATTCTTCGATATGTTGCTTGCGAACAGGCAGACATAGAAAGTCAACAGACACCTTTATAAGACATTTATTTGCACACACGCCAAAAATAGCCACTTTTTTCAGACAATTTATGACATCGAGGTACATAACTCCAGTATTTGATACGGTGTCGCATAAAAGCATAAAGCTGCCTCATTGTGTTTATGAGATAAGCTACTGTGATTCGATTTGCACTTGCTTCTCTTCCAGATCTTCGAACTGTAAATTTCCGGAGTATTTCAACAGACGAACAAATGTTATCTGGTTTGACAATGCTATCAGTTGTTTGTGTCTGCCTTAAAATGTGAACATTAGATAAATTAATTACATTAATTATGTCCTTTGAACAACTCAGGTCTACGATCTGGCGATTTTTTTCCTTGGCACTACAGCCCCAGTGGGCCTAGGCCTAACTCCATGCACTTCTCCGTTCACTTTGGTTTTTCTAGATCTTACACATACGGTAGGACTCCTTGGGCGGGTGATCAGCTCGTCGCATGGTCTCTACCTGTACGCAAACACAGAAAAACGCACACACACAAACTAAACATTCATGCCCTGAGTGGGGTTCGAACCCACGATCCCGGTTTCCAAACGAGCGAAGAGAGTACATGCCTTAGACCGCTCGGCTACTGTGACCGGCAGTGTATAAGAATAATATATAAGAATTCAGTTCGTACCTCACAGGAAACAGATCCGAACCCACGATCCCGGTTTCCAAGCGAGCGAAGAGAGTACATGCCTTAGACCGCTCGGCTACTGTGACCGGCAGTGTATAAGAAT